TCCCCAAAGGTCATTTCCCCTCCTCCAAAGGTCACTTTCACACCCCTCAGAAGGAATCTGACCAGGATAACCTTTGCAAAGGAGGGGCCCAGGGCTGGCACGGTGGCACTGGAGTGGGAATGCCCGCCAAGCCAGGGGCAGCACCGCCCTTATGGACAGACCAGAAAGGGGTCTCGGTCCCAGAAACACCTTTTTTTTTTGGCCTCTTTTGCGAGAGGAAACCCGGCAGAGGTTTCTCTCCCCTTTCCCAGGTCGTCTCTTATCCCCCTTGGCCGTGCCGGCTCGGGGGGACACAGGGAGCTTCTCCTCGCGGCAGCAGCGCCGGGGGCTGCCGGCCGAGCCCCCCTGCTCTCCCGCCGGGGCTGCTGGCCCTGGCCCTGAGGCCTTCCCCCTTCTAGAGTTACCGGATTGTTTCCCAGCGCGGGCAAGACTTGAATTTCCAATGCAAAATCCCCAGCCAAAGTGCCCGCCGCTTTGGCRTTACCCCTGCCCAAGAGCAAAGCGGCAGCCAGGCACAACAGGGGGGTTCTGCTCGGCACGGGGGCTCCAGAGGGAATTGGGCACGGGGTTGATGCCGCTAACGGGTCCAGCGGCTCCCCGTGCGCTCCCGGCGCCGGCAACCCGAGCCCGTTTGGGCACGATAGGCATCGCGCCGGCGCGCCGGGCGCATTGTCCCCGCGGCTGCGCCCGCGCCTCCGGGACCCTCATCACCCGCCCAGGGCACACGGCGGGTCGTTATCCCGTGTCGTGTTTCCAGCGCCGCGTCCCGGAGCCGCTCCGGCCGCAGCGGGCGATGGGGCGCAACCGGCACAAGCAAACCCTGTCCTGGGTGCTGCTGGTTACGGCAGGGAGGGTCCCCACCCTGCAGCGCTACACAGGGCACCCGGGGCTCAGTCGGCTGCAGTCTGTACAGCGCAGGGCTCGGTGTAACGGGAGCGGAAGGGGCGTCCACACTCACCCGCACTGCGGTGCACTCCGTGGGCCTCTACCTAGCCTGCGGCACAGGGAAAGCAACACGTATGAGGCGGGAAACTCCACTCCGTGCAAGATCAAGCCCCMCACCGCCCCATCCCCGCTGCTCTCATGAGCCCCCTTGCAGGGCTGCAAGCGCATGGAGAAACATCGGGGCCTTGGGATACTTGGAAAAGTCTCCTTATATCCTCCCGGTCCCAGGGAACAGCGTGGAGGATCCCCTCCCTCAGCCTGCTGGCACCCCAATGCAGCCCAGTCCCCACCAGCCCTGTGCCAGTGTCGCCCCCTGACCAAGGAGCGAGCCRTGAGCAAGGATCCCGGCATTTTTCCAAGGATTTCCAAAGGGGGCAACCAAACGGTGCCAATGGAGGGGCTCTCCCGCACCCCAAACCCCACATGGACAACGTCTTCCAGGGTATTGCCTAATTTGCGACGGTGGGGGCAGAAGACAGAGCCAATTTGGAGTGCTCCTCAATTATCTGATCCTATTTAAGGGTATAATGTCCCGGACGGGCATGGGGGTCTCGTGTGGAAGCCAAGGAGCAGGACTGGCCTTCCTGGGAGCCCTGCCCAGCTCCTCGCACTCCCCCCGCCCCTAATTCCCATGCCGGACACATTTGGAAAAAGCCAGAGCGTCATCTCCTAAGAATCTAAAATATTTAACATAAGAGGCTGTTCCAGGACAAAGAGAATCCTGCGATTTAAAGCCAGTGTGATGCTGCCTTGAAAAGCGTTGTTCGAGCTGAGGTCAAACTTACTCCGTATGAACTCAGCATTTCCAATACTGATGGAAGAACCGTGGGGAGAGAGGGCACCTGAGAGCTTGCTGGGCAGGGAAGTGCCAGAAAACAAGCTTTTTTGGGGAGAAACGCGAGCCGCTTTCCGTCATGACAGCCAGAGGGAAAACGTTCGCAGACCATCAGCGGCACAAAAAGCATCAAGCGTTCCCGCCTGCTGGAAGTGCAGCTGGCTCAAGCCCGACAAGCGCTGGGGCCGGTGTGTCCCCACCCAAGGGTGCTGGGTGCGGGCAGGGTGCCCAGGGCGGGCGGGGGTCCCTGGGCTCCCGCAGCGCTGCATGCGGAGCGCCCCTTCGCAGCCAAGCAGCGGCCATGCAGGGGTGTCCATGCAGGGGTGCTGGACGGGGGCGCTGGGACCTTYGCCCGGTGAGTGCACGTGTCCGCGGGCGCCGCGCCGCAGCGCTCRGGAGCGGGCACCCGCCTGGCGCCAGCCGCCCAAACCAGCCGTGTTTGGGGCGTTTCTGCTGCGTCTGCGCTAGCTGCAGCTGCATTCCCTGCAGCACTCGAACTCCTCCTCCGGCAGCACATCCCAGCTGTCTGTGCGTGGCCTTTGCAATGATGTCATCACCACTGCAATGATGTCATCACCACTGCAATGATGCCATCACCACTGCAATGACGCCAACACCACTGCAACGACCTCACTGCCATTGCAATGACACCGTCATCATTGCAATGACATCATCACTGTTGCAATGACCTCATTGCCATGGCAATGACACCATTGCCGTTGCAATGACCTCATCGCCATTGCAATGACCTCATTGCCATGGCAATGACACCATCATCAGTGCAATGACCTCATCACCGTTGTAATGACATCATTGCCATTGCAGTGATACCATCGTTGTTGTAATGACCTCATCACTGTTGTAATGACCTCATCACTATTGCAATGACCTCATCACTGTTGTAATGACACCATTGCCATTGCAATTACCCCATCACCATTGCAATGACACCATCATCATTGCAGTGACCTCATTGCTGTTGCAATGACCTCAATGCCACTGCAATGACACCATCAYCATTGCAATGACACCATCATCATTGCAGTGACCTCATTGCTGTTGCAATGACCTCAATGCCACTGCAATGACACCATCAYCATTGCAATGACACCATCATCATTGCAGTGACCTCATTGCTGTTGCAATGACCTCAATGCCACTGCAATGACACCATCACCATTGCAATGACACCATCATCATTGCAATGACCTCATCRCTGTTGCAATGACCTCAATGCCACTGCAATGACACCATCGCTGTTGCAATGAGGTCATCACYGTCGCAATGACATCACGGCAAAGGCCAGCAGACATGCCGAGAGCGCTCCCGGAGCACGGCAGTGGTGGGAATGGGTGTCTGCAGGTGCCGGCGCTGCAGCGGCAGCGGTGTTGGGGGGCTGCTGCAACCCCGGGCCCTGCACTGAGAGCCCCTGGGGACTCGGAGCCACCAGCACCAACGGGCTCTTACAGCCGAGCACCCAGACCTCCGTTTTACCTTGGTCCTTCCCATTCTGCATTGCTCCTCTTTCCTCTTCATCTTCTTCCTCTGCTTAAAAGAAATGAAGAAAATAAAAAATCATGAGACAAGGGGGTGAAAGAGCAGGAACTTCGGGAACTTCCTATGGGAGGGAGAGGTGGGATGGAGGGCAGGAGAGCAGGTCCCAAGCACAGCCTGGATGGAAGCCACCGTCCTTCCCATGGGCACAGCTCCTTTCTGGAGGGTCAGATGCCACCGTCCTTCCCATGGGCACAGCTCCTTTCTGGAGGGTCAGGAGGCCCCACGTCGCCTTCATTGGGTGAGCAGAGCTTGCAGAGCGCTCGCTGCAGCTGCCCCTCTGTGCACTGCAGCTGTGCCTGTCCCATGCACAGTGTCCCCGTGTCCCCGCGTGTCCCATCGGAGCGACAGGAGCAGCACCCACACCGCGGACAGGAAAGCTGGGCTTCAGAGCCAGGCTGGGCTCGAGCAGAGGAACAGGAAGGTGGCTCATGGAGATGCAAGGTGAAGATCCTGCAGTTTCCCCCCATCGCAGGGCGTTCGGTGACACCCAAGCTCACGGGAACGGTGGGGCCGGCGCCCGGTAACACCCAGCCTGGGGGACGGTGGATCATTATATCTAACTGCAGRTTAGGAGGGTTTATGGCCGGGCTTGTATTTATGGAGCAGCGAGCGGGAGCACAAGGGCACATTCCTGCGTGGATGGCAGCTCCCATCCGGGGCCCCTGCAAGCAGGKGCCCGAGCAGCCCCACGTGGCACCCATGGGTGCACGCAGGGCCTCCCCAGCCTCGGGCACCCGTTTCACCTCCCGTTGGGTACGAACGGTGCACGGCTGCAAGGAAAGGCTTTATGAGCTCGCAGCGCTGCAGCGAGTGCATTTACTGCTCTGCAGCAGAACAGCAGCCTGGTTTACAGCGAGGGCTGCTGCTCTGCAGCCACGGGCACGCCGGCAAGCGTGGGGGCAACAAAAGGCACCCCGCTTTTACCATGCAGCTCGGGGAGCTGCGGGAGGGGGTGCCGCGACGGCAGGCCCGGGTGCAGCGAGGGCCGGAGGAGGCGTCAGCGAGGAGCAGAGTGCCCAGCTCGGGGCTGAATGCAGCATTCCTGAAAGCGGGAGCCGCCTGGAGCACYGAATATGCCCTATTTAATATTTATTCCAGCTGGAGCTGGGCTCATGTGCCTTGTGCTGCGTATTTGGGACTATAGCACCTAATGGGCATTCACTTCAGGGTCTGGCATCCTCGGGAACGCCAGCCGTATAAACGACTTTTCATCACTGAGAAAATAAAGGGAGCCCCTAATCCTGTTGGAAAGGYGGTTTTTATGGCAGATGAGTGCGGGGACGAAGGCTCGGCGCTCCCGCCGCCCCTTACCCGAGTGCAGCTCCTTCACCAGGGACGACACGGTGTCCGTGATGGAGTCGGCGGCCACCAGCAGATCGTCGCGCAGGTTCCTCCTGGCGCCTGCGGGAGCAAAGGGGGGGCACGGGGTGAGCGGGGACGTCCCGTGTCCCGTGTCCCGTGTCCCGTGTCCCRTGTCCCGTGTCCCATGTCCCGTGTCCCGTGTCCCGTGTCCCTCGCGCTGCAGCCCCGCCGGCCGCCAGCCCCAGCACCGCGCGCTCGCCCGCCCGGGATGCTCCTCAACCTGCACGCGCCCGGTGTGATTTACGGGGGAAAACGGCAGGATGAGGCCCCGCAGCTCCGGATTCCGGGCTCCCGCATGCCGGGAGCCCCCACGGGGCACGGAGCCGTGTGTCTCGGTGTGGGAGGCAGGAGGAGGCTGGCACGGTGCAGGGCTGCAGCACGAGCCCTCCCCTGGCATCCAATTATTGCATTAGGGGAAAACATGGGAGATTTTCATCCGGTTTCCTGTGTTCTCCGCTGGCCTCGAATTTGCCTGATTTTTGCCTGATTAATGTGAAATCGCAGTAATTGTGCAGATTGCCTTTCCGGAAGGATCATTCCAGGAAACTTATTACGGAGTCTCCAGGCCATCTTTATTTGCTCTCAGGTCTCCTTGTCTCGCTGCGGAGAGGCACAAGCGGCCCCGCGGCTAGCGCAGGGGGGCTGCAGGGTGGGCTGCCTTTGCATCCCACCAAGCCCAAGGGACAATTTCTTTCGTCTTTTCCAGCATTTTCTTCTTCCAGCGATTTCTTCTCCAGCCAAACAGCAGCAATCRCCTTCCCGTTCGGCGGTGACCTCCGTATTTGAGTATTTCGCCAGGAATATTGGGAGAGAAACCTTTCAGYGCGGCACCACCCTGTTCTCCTTGTGGGAGATGATGGATAAGACGTCACCTCCGGAGGGATTTTCTTTAGGGCCACCSTGTCCAGATCCCTGCGGAGCTTGTGGGACGCTTGGGGCTGGCCAAGGGACTGGTCCCCATCAGCGCGTCACCTCCGCCAGGACAAGGGGACAGACACACATCTTCCCTTTCCTCTTCCCTCCCAACGTGCCATTTTATGTGAATCCAGCAGATGTGGGCAGGCCAGCAAATGCAATCAAACCAGGTGTAAAACACGTGAAACAAGCAGCACTTTKGGGCAGGAACCTTGTCCTGCAGGCATGGTCCTTAGGTGCCGTGCCCAGCGTACCAGCGGCACCCAGGGGCCGTGCCACGGGTGCTGCGTGGGTCCCGAGCCCGCCCTAGGGAGTCGGACGGGACCCTGACGCATGGGAGCAATGCAGGGGCCCGYGGGGAGCCGGCGGCTCCGCGGAGCAGAGGCGGCTGCGGATGGACCCGGGGGTGCCACGGAGCCGCGGGAGGARGAGGAGGCGCCGGACCACCCACGGCACCAGATGGAGCCGGGCTGCTGGAATGTGGCGGCCGCCCCCCTGGAACGGCCTCTGGAAGCGCTTAGGGGGCTGTGGAGCCACTGGCAGGTCCGGGCCGCTCCGACCGGGCCGCTCCGACCCGGCATCCTTCCCATCCCGGCTTCCTTCCCACCCCGGCTTCCTTCCCATTCCGGCTTCCTTCCCATCCCGGCTTCCTTCCCACGCCGGCTCCGTGCTAATTAGAGGTGTCCCCTGAAGCAGCTGATCCTCTGCCACTGCTCCGGGCTCTCTTCCCGCACCTTCTCCCGCTTCCCAGCCCGCGGCAGCTGAAGGCAAATTCCTGTTGGGAAGGCGCTTGCTTTCCAGATGCAGCGCCAGCCCCGGGAAGGGCATCCTCAGGGTGTCTCTCTTGACAGGACGACCATCCACCCAACAAGATCTCCATGGAAAGAGGAGTGTTCCCAAGGACCTGGCAGGACCCACCTGCTGGCTTGGGACAGCAGGACATTAGGGAGACGGTGGATTGCATGGATTTCCTGCCTTCCCTTCCCTTCCTGACAGTGAATTGCGGAAGAGGAGCAGGTTTCCACCTCAAGGAATGTGGCCAGGGAAGGTCCACTTGGACAACCAGGACTGAGGGCAACTTCAGCTAACAACCGGTTGCTGCTCAAAGGGGAAAATAAAGCGGATTTGCTCCRGTGGATGCTCGGGCCCAGGCGGGAATGGAGCTCCTTGTACCCAGTAACCCAGGAACAACCCCGGTGGTGCCGGCGGTACCGGCGAGGCCGGCGCCTCCACCCGCCGCTTCTGAGTCCCCAAGTTGGGAGTTCTGCACCCAAACGGGCCCAGGAGATGAGAAGCGAGCACAAAAGCGGAGCCGCTCCRGTGGCGAGGGGAAGGCGGCGCGGGCCAGCGCTCCTGCTGAGCTGCACTCTTCCCAGCACGAGCACAACCGGAGCAGGTAGCAGCCAAGAACAATGAATTTCCACCTCCCTCTGCCGTGGAAAGGCTCCCTGAAGGCAAAAAGCGCTCATGTTTTGCCAAGCCTCCCGAGATCCTCCCGAGAGCCCAGCCTTCGCTTGCCTCCTCCGGCATTCCCGCAGAACCAAGCGGCCGCCGGCCTCCGATTCGGGAGCACCAGCTCCTGCTCAGCACTGGCTTCAGCAAGATCCATTTCCCCGGATTATCCTCAAATTTTGGAGTTCTTTCGGAGCCCGAAATGGCTGTGCCATGTACACATTAGCTTCTTCTTTGGAAAATAAAAAAGGTTCCTGAAAATCTGTATTTTTTTAAGGCAGCAGCAGCTGAGTACAAGCTCGCACTGCCTACAGCATCGGGGTAGGGACGTGCGTGCCGCCGGCTGCTCCGGTTTCCCCGGCAGCACCGGAGCGGGCACCGCAGGATCCCGGCCCCAGGATCCGGCCGGGAAACCGAGGACCAAGCGCAGCGAGGAGCCGCTAAACCCCGCCTAGGCAGCGCTGGGAACGGCTGCTTGCAGAGCAGCTGGCCAAAAAGGGCTTTTATTCCCTATTTTTTATGAGGGTTCCTTTCTCAAATGCAAAGGGGAGTAACATATAGAAAGAAAGTGAGGTCTCCAACTCTGCTCTTGCAGCTCGCTGCATGGCGATGCCGGGTTCACCCACGTGGGTTTTCAATATAATCAACTGACTTGCAGGCATAAGCTAGCGAGACGGGAGGACGCTCTCCTTGGAGAGGAGATTGCGACGGCGGGAATAGCTCCATAAAGCAGCGGAGAGTGGGAATGTGCCCCCCAAGCCGCCGGTCCTGGGAAGGGGTGCTGGTGCTCACCGTGCGCCGGGGCGTCCTGCGCGGCGGGCGGCTCCGGCGGCGCGTGCGTCGGCGTGGAGGACGGCGACCTCACGGGCATGGGCATGGGCATGGGCACGGGGCGGCCCGCGGCGGGCGGCGGCGACGAGGGTGCCGAGCCCGACGCCTGCGCCTGCGGGGAGACGGCGTGAGGTGGTTTTGCTGCAAGGGAAACGGCTTCTCCAACGCATTCGGCACCGAGCGATGCGCGCGCAGCAGCGGCGGCCGCGGAGCTCTGCGCTGTGCAGCTCCCCTCGCCACTGCCCAAACACCAATAATGCAATAAAACGATAATGCAAGAATATAATTAACAATAATACACATGTAGATGCACCGCAAGAAGATGCCACCAACTGCTCTGCATGGGGAAAAACCCCTAGGATGGATGGAGATGGTGAAGGAGCCTCCTCCATGCAGCCCGTTTAGGGACACCTSCGCTACGGTCTGAGGGACTCAATTTGGATTAGCTCAGGAGCCAATAATGACCTTTGGGAAAAATAATAACACAATTGTCTGCTATTAGGTGAAACAAAGGAATTATTAGGCTTGGGTACCTAGCAAAAGGAAGGAAGGAACAGCGTTTTGCARGGTATGGCAGCATGCTTGGGGTGCGAGCAGCAAACCTACGGCCAGAGCTTGACCAGGCACACACAGGCCATGCAAGGGGGTTATTACCATCTCTGCAATGAGTTTGCAAATCTACTSCTAAAGTCGAGGTTTCCTGCTGTTGTGTTTTCTTCCAGAGGGTCTCGGCAGCTGTTCTCCAATACGGGCAGCAGCGGCTTCCCAAGCAAAGGTGCCCCGGAGCCTCCAGCTCTGCTGGGACGGGCCGCACCGATGCGGGTCCYGGGGACCTCAGAGCCCACGTGCGTGCTCGAAATGTGATTTATGGCCTGCTCTGCTGTTCCCACCTGCGCGCTGACACCGATTGCAGGAAAGCTGCTCGTAAAGCATTACTCGTTAGCGCTGATCCCCCCGGGTTCACCGCAGATCCCGGCCACGCTCGTGTCAAGCCCTGCCCCGTAGCGACGTCSCAGGGGCTTTGGGGCAACCCCGGGAACCGGGTGCCGCTCGGGAGCCGGGCAGGAGCCTCTGTCCTCTGCCAGGGCTGTCCTGGAGGCCCGCGGAGCTGCTAAATGCGCCGCGCGGAGCTGCTCGCGGGGCACACGGCCGCTCGGAGCCCCATCAATAATGCAGCGCTTTCCAGAGCTCAGCAAAGAGTCTCGCCGCGCCGGTCCCTGCAGGGCAGGACGGAAAATTATATCCTTGAGATGGCTGCTAATTAAAGAGAGCGCACGCGCGGCCCCGCGACTGCATCTGCCTGCACCAAGAGGTAAAACCCAGCCTTAAATACGGCCTGAACGTGCACTAACCGTCAGCAGTGCCTGGATTAGCTCGGGCCGTGGAGAAGGAGGCCACGGCCAGCACGTGGAGGTGCCAGCTGGATCTGGAGCGGGTCCGCAGGCTCTGCAGCAATTCCCTCCTTCCCTCCCAAACCAAGTGCCACTTAGAGCAGGGGAAAAAGCCCAGGCCTAAAGCGGGAGCTAAAACCAGAGCCCAAGCACCCTAAACAGCCACATCCAAGGCAGGGGCCGAGGTGGCAGTCCCCTTTCCCCAAGGCGCTAGCAGGAAGCGTTTCACGTTGGGGATTTGTCACCTGCTGGYTATGGGACCTCGGTGCACGTTGCTGCTCATCACCTGAGACCTGTTTACAGCGGAGGTGTGAGAGCGGCTAGAAAATGTCTTTTCTAATTCCTTAAGAAATCAGAGGGATTTCTTMTTTGGAAAAGTGAGAGCTCAAGTAATGGCATAAGGTTCGTTACCGACCTCTCCCCCTAGCAAATCTGCCTGGACTATAGATGGCCAAGTTTAAGCCGAGGAGTCAAGCTCAACCTCTTCCACACAGTTGTCCACACAGGGCTCCTGCAAATGGGATCCTGGGAGCAAAAGGAGACCTTGAATCCTGGAAACCTCCATCCTCATGGGCTGAAATCTGGGAGCAGGTTGTGGATTATGGAAAAAAAAAAAAAAAGGTGAGTTTGTTTGGTCTACATTGCTGCTCAAATACCAAGGTAGGAAAAGGAAGAGTAGTAGGCAGAGCCATCTTCACATGTGGGCTGCCTTCTTGGCCGAGGGTGGAATGAAATGCAGCCGCAGAACCACAGATTGGCTGGGGCTGGAAGGGACCTCTCGAGATCACCACACTCTTCCACCAGGAGACAACTGAGTCCTGAGAGCAACTTCATTAAAAAGAAAAGAGGAAAATGGGAAGTGTTCTAAAATACACACATCTTTCCTAAAAACTTCAGTATGAAAAGACCTGTTTTCACTGGAACATAGCACGCTGTCGTGCATCTCTCCATGCATCCATCGCATGGAGGCAGCGGCAATCACCACTGAAAGGACAAGAGTGGCACCGAGCGCACGGAACAACCAACCAGGAACTCGGAGGAGGAAAGGAAGGACGGAGCGAATCTGCAATGATGCATTCCCAAATTGCTGGAGCCATCAGGGTGGGTGCAGCCTCCGTGCCCATTTCCAGGGACTTTGGGGCGTTGGGAGCCGCGCACGTTGAGGAGCACGTTGAGGAGCACGTTGAGGAGCAGGTTGAGGAGCACGTTGAGGAGCATGTTGAGGAGCACATTGAGGAGCAGGTTGAGGAGCAGGTTGAGGAGCAGGTTGAGGAGCACCTTGAGGAGCACGTTGAGGAGCACATTGAGGAGCACATTGAGGAGCACGTTGAGGAGCACATTGAGGAGCAGGTTGAGGAGCAGGTTGAGGAGCACGTTGAGGAGCAGTTGAGGAGCACACTGAGGAGCACGTTGAGGAGCACGTTGAGGAGCACATTGTGATCATGTACCGCCGAAGCAGCAAACAGGGCGGTCTGCAGAGACGGGATGTTCTCCCCGCGAGCCGGCACACAAACAAGCACTCGGAGGACGGGGAGAGGGGGTTCTCAGGGCTGACGTGGCTCTCTAGTTCCTGGTAAGCCCTGTTTTCCTCTAATTCCAGAAAGAAACCCCAAACAACGCAAAATCAACCTATTTTGCGTCCTGATCTCTCTTGTTACGCTCACACGCTGCCCACGCTCCCGAACAAGGCTGTTTTCTCTCTGCTTCCAGCCATACGAGGTCCCACGGCAGAAACGTCGTACGTGGAAACGGCGATGCAGGAGCTCTTGACAATAATTAAGATGCATGAATAAAGCAAAAAGACGTCAGGATGCACGAGCTGCCTTYGACGGGGGCTTCCTCTCCATTAGTGCTATGGACACTGCTCCAGGGCTCCTGGCCACACGTGGCCTATGGGGCCTCCAGGGAGACCTGCAGCTCCAAGAAGCCCGGGAGATCAAAGCCTTTGGTTTGATCTTTGGCCGCCGAGCACCCAAATGATCCCAGGAGGAAAAGGCTCCCGCCCTGGAGGGTCACGTTGCCTCCCGGGAGAGCAGCAAAGGCATCTGGTGGCCACTGGCAAGCGTGGAAGCAGAAGGACGCGGCGATCCCGAGGCGCTGGGGCGCGATGGCCCGGAGCAGAGGWTGCGGCGGGAGGAAGGCCCGGGTTTGATCGCACATGTGGGCTAAGTGAAGCGGAGTGGCGCGGGGCGACGACGGACGGGCTCGGGAGCCGCTTCCACGGCTGCGTCCGAAGGCACCGCGGAGGGCAGAGCAATAAACGAGGCTCGCAGCCTTCCTGCGATGAAGACCGCAGGCGAGGAGGAAGGGGGCAAGGTCGCAAACCTGGAGCTACGGCCGTGCTGGGGGGTTGAAGGTGTCGGCGTGGAGAGCAGGCGTGGGGCTGCTCCATCCACGGACACGCTGCTGCCCCGCAAAGGGAGCGCAGACGGGTCGGCATGGGAGCATGAAGCCCCATCCCAACCCGTTGGCCAAGGAAGAGCCAAGCGTGCAGCCACGGAGTGTAAAACCCCGGGAGGGGACACGTTCCTGCTGAAACGGCACCAAGGAGGACACAGATGATGGATTTCAGCTCGGGAAAATAACTCAGGAAACCTCTGACCCAGCACCTGAAATGTTTGGGCGCTGACTTAGATTTATTGGCGCAGGTTTATCGAGTCTTATATACACTAGTTCGGAGGTTTAGCTTAACAGAACCGTAGTATTTCCTGAAAAATCTGCAAGAGGGAAAGCTCTGGCCCCTGCATCAAAGAGAGCTGAGCAGAGCTACAGGAAGACAGGACCCTAATAGCTTTTAATAGATACACAAAGCGCTCTCCAACCATTGCTTTCCTCGTCACCAGGGTTTGCCTGTGGTCAAATTTCCTACAGCCATCACAACGGAGGAGGGTTGTGAAGGAGAACAGGATCCCAAAACACTGAAACTTAGGCAGGAAGGGACCCCAGGAGGGTCCAGCCCAAAGGACCTTGTTCGAAAATGCACCAACATGGAGATTCCACCATCTCACCCGGCRACCTGCCCAGATTTTCACCTCTCTCACGGGAACGAGTTTCACGTTTTTCCCTTATATCCAGGCAGAATTTGCCCCCCTGTGACATTTGCCCAAATGACCTAGTCCAGCAAGAGCCCTGTTCAAGGAGAAGGTTGGACTAGAGACCTCCAGAAGGCCCTGACACCCAACGCTGATAGAACTTCACGGTTCTAATTGATAGAACTTTTTGGTTCTATCAATGTTTCACTGAGAAAAATTTGTTCTCTAAGTAACAGACATTTAACTCAAGACTTTTTCTTCAGTAAGGAGCAGAAGGGAGCTGCAGATAAAAGCCATGGTGCATAGACATAAAACCAAAGATCCAACGTGGCTCAGATGAGCGAATTAGACAAGCAAACATCTCATCATGCCCCGAATAAATTTATTCCACGAAATTTGGCAGAAAAAGAGCGAAAGTGGGACTCGGAACACATGAGGTGTTCTCATGCTCACTCCTACATCTGTTGGGCAGTGAATGAAGCAAGCCGGGCTGGGTGAGCGGGCACCCGAGGCAGAGCGCGGGGCTGCTCTAGGAGGCCAAGCGGGGCCGGGCTCAGCASATGTGCTCGGCGCGCGGCCGGCTCCCTCTGCCCTCGTTGGAGGTGACGGGACGGCGCTCGAGGCCGGCGTGCCCACGGCCAGCGCCGCGGCTGGGCGCCTGCAGAAGAGCCTCYGTGAGGAACCGGAGC